GTAGTATTATTCATTCATTCAATATATCAATAACATATTTTCTCCCGTGCCTTCTCACAGCCACAACATGCGTAACACAAATGACAAATTTGATTGCCCCTGATTATGGTTTTTTTTCTTAGTTGAATTTGATTATGACAACACAAAACCTCTAACCACCTCTATGGCTCCAGGTACAGTCATCTAAAGCTACTTTGCGGCCAATTAATTGAATCTACTGCACAGCACGTTTTTTTACCAGTATCTTTTTCTCCCTAAAATGAGTGATGGGATGTCGAGTATGAGGATCAAACCCTTTAGTTTTCACATTGATTTCAGACATTTATTACATATTTACTCTGCACAAAAAGTACTATAGCCTAAAACTTAAAAAAATTGAAAGCGCTTAAAAATTATTTCAGAACATTACAGTCAAAAAGCTGTCTGACTCTTCAAATTGTAATATTGTTTGACAGAATTGGACAGAGAAAGTAATATGTCATTGGCATGTTGATATTTTCCAGATTTACTTTGCATAATTCTTTGAAAATCAACTATTATCTTTGAATTCACTGGTACATACCTTTTCATAGTTCATGAGTTGGCACAAGGTCAAGGACCTAGCTGCAGAGCTGTTATAAAGCTTCTCGATGTTCGCGTCCGAGCGATCGAATTTATAAATCATGGAGCCAAACTTGCAGTTGGATATGAAAATGTTAAGGTCAGAAACCCAACATCCTTCTCTTCAAGTTTTGTGATGATCTTATGATGTCACTCTTGTTGATTGATGTGGATACTTATTCACAAAGGCCTCCAATTTCAGGTTGCAGTGCTTGATATGACTTCATTATCAGTTTTGTTCTTGACAGATTCCGTATCTGTTGGTAGCTCTCCACTGGTCTCAGTGATTGCAAAGAGATTTATGCATAGTGATGGTCATAGCAAAAGCCCAAAACAATCAGAGCTTCCAGAAAATCATATGGAGGAACTCATGTTCGTTTTAACTGAGGATGCAAAGATCTATGTAATTGATGGTGGTAGTGGTAAAACGTCCAGTTTAGAGCCCCTGCATTTAAAGAAAGTGTCAACAGCAATTTCTATGTATGTCATAGGCAAGTACATATTTGTAGAGAAATTCAAATTGTTTTTACGTGTAAGTTGCACTCAGTTTTGTGTTGATTTATTGCATTTCAGAAAACAACACCCCATTTTCTGGTATAATAAGTAAGAAGCCACAGTCCAGCAAGGATGATGCAAATAGTAATGAGCCTTCACAGGACATGACCACTAGTGATCAATGTGATACGGCTCCCTTTCTACAAAATGACCCCTCCAGGAAACACTTTGAGGAGTCCTTTGTTCTACTTTGCTGTAAAGATGCAATACGCACTTATGCTACAAAATCTGTGGTTCATGTGAGTTTATTTTTTCATTGCTTCTGATTTCTTGTAGTTCTATGTCCTTGAATGTTCTATATAATTCCATTTGATATTACTAGGGGAACAATAAATCTGTGTGCAAAGTGAAGCTCGACAAACCTTGTTGCTGGACAACTACTTTTATGAAAGATGGGAAAGTTTGTGGGCTACTATTACTCTTTCAGAATGGAGATATCGAGATTAGGTAAGCTTTTTCTTTCGTAAATGTTCCAGCAAGTACCATTTCCCAACTTTAAGGATGTTAGTAAGGCATAATCAGATTGTTCTCCAGTATTTGGCTGCCTTAAATTGTTAAAAATGTTCTCTCCAAGAAAATAATCACATCAACCAATCAATCAACTACACCTCGTTCCTAAACTAGTTTTCTTCAAATGGAGAAAATTTACTCGTGATATTTATGGATGTTATTCATATTTTCTTTGAAAGTATCTTAATTCGTATAGTCATTTTCCTGTACAATTATCACGATTCATACCATATATCACTTCCTTCAATCAGCACATAAACATTGTTGTAAGCTCTTAGTACTGCTCCATTACCAAAATATTTTCTGATGCCCTATACCCCATCTTCTAGCATTAGAGGTGGAGACGAGAATTGCTTGAGACTTGTCACCTACCTTTATATTAACCAAATGTCGGAAAACGATCTAAGAAAAGTTTTTCAAGGTAAGATTTTCCCGTTTTACATCATACTAAATGCACCTTGAATATGCAAGTTTTATGTGCCTTGTACAATTCCTTATTGTCAATAATGAAAGATTGCTTCTTTGCTGCATGTCCTAGATAATATATTACAAAAGAACTGTGTGTTAGAACATTGCTAACATGTATATATCTCCAGATCTTTGCCTGATCTAGAGTTGGTGGAGCAGACCTCCTTAATGTCAGTTTTAAGGTGGAATTTCAAGCTAAATATGGACAGGGCGATGAGTTCCATGGAGAATGGCCATGTTACCTTGGTAAAAAAAGTTGCAGTGCATGCTATTATCCTATTGTTTAGCATTATTCCTTGCTTATTAAAATTTCATCCTATTCTTGCATGGCCTCTTAACATCTTTGTCATAACAAATATCAGGCAAATGGTTCTGAACTGGCTTTCGTGTCCCTATTAGCTAGTGAAAATGATTTCAGGTATATGATCAACCAGTGCTACTTTCCATCAAGTGAATAGCTTACTCATGAGCTGCATAGATTGTTCAAAATTACTGATTCAGCAATGTGTTTTCCAGAATTCCAGAATCTTTGCCGTTTCTTCATGATGAAGTGCTCGCAGCTGCAGCAGATGCTGCCATCAAATTCTCCACTCAGAAGAAGAAACAGGTCTGGTTGATGAAGATGTTTCCTTGTGGTCTATATTTTGCAGTGGCTGAATTCTTATCAATGTTGCTGCAGGGTAGTGGGCCAAACATTATTGGTACTCGTTAAAGGATTTAAAGTGGGAAAAACGAACCATAATATGGATCTCAGTGAGATGTCTAAGTCAAACTTTAGTCATCTGGAAGGTATCTTTATGAAGAACCCACTCAACCCAGAACCGTCCCCAATTATCACTAAGGAAGTTCAAGGAGCAGTGGAGCTCGATATAGGTTATCCCTACATACCTTGCTTCTTCAAGAGTGACACTTTTCTGTCCCTATATATTGGTCTATACAACATTTCTGTAGTTGAGGTGCCCCTAACTGAAGATTTACTTCTGACGCAGATGATATTGAAATTGATGACCCTGTCCCTGTGGCTCCTACTTCATCTCATAGCACACAAAATAGTAAAAGAGGTAACTTGCATCAAATCAGTCATCTGCAGTTTCAGAATTCATAATAACAAATATTTTCCTTGTACATTGCAGGAACTGAACGAGGGAAGTTGCTTGATTCTGAGGGTGACGATGTCAAGCCCAGACTTAGGACACGTGAAGAAATCATAGCAAAATATAGAAAAGCGGGGGTAATAATATTTGTCGGTGTTGGAACTTTTTCAGACCCCACTGTGTCTAATAAATGTTCTCATTGTTTATTCAATCATTATATCTTCCAGGATGCATCATCAGCGGCTGGAGAAGCTAGAAACAAGCTTCTAGAACGCCAAGAGAAACTTGAGGTATTTAAAATGGTGAAGATACACATATGTAACACAAAATATTGAGCATGATAATACCGGTGCACGAAGTATCCCACATTCATAGAGGGTCCGGAGAAGGGCCACACCCCAAGGGGTGTGATGTAGACAGGGTATCTACTCTGATGCAAGCATCAATGGTTGATTCCACGGCTCGAATCCGTGACATATAGGTCACACAGAGACAATTCTACCGTTGCTCCAAGGTTCCCCTTCTTTGAGCATGATAATACATGAAATAAATTCTTGCTTGTAACCAAAATTAGTTGTGAGAGTATATTAAGCTAAGACCACTCATGGTTTAAAGATTAAAGAAAGTGGGGGATAGAACCTCTAAGTTGCATATTTTCTGGAAGATAATATGCTCATTCTTGTGTTTGTGTTGCAACTTGGTCCCTGACCGTTGTCTGGTTCTGCACTGTGCTCCTCCTTGAAATTTGTTCAACTTCTCATTATACTGTATAAACAGTTTTCTTGTGCAAACCTTGCTTATTCTGGTTTATGATGACATATAACTTTATATGGTTTTGCAGAGAATTAGCCAAAGAACTGACGAACTACGCAGTGGGGCTGAAGACTTTGCATCATTGGCAAATGAGCTTGTCAAGGTAATGGAAAATCGCAATCGCAAATGGTGGCAAATATGAAGATAGGCCTTTTCCTTGCTATTAATCATCCTTCACTGGGCAACGGAAGATTCATCATTTTACACCTAAGAAAGTGTCAGTGTGGACATATAACCTGTATAGATCGGCCTGCCTTTGAGAACTTTGGGTTAAAGCAACTAAACGAGAGAGTAGCTTAGGTTATTTGTTATTCTTGACTGAATAACCTAGCATTTTTTCTTCATTTATAGTCTGTTTGTTTGCCTGCAAAGGAAAATTATGTATGTAACGGATGTCATTGATGTTGTTTGTGAAGTGTGTATACAGAAAATACAATGACGGCCAAGAATTATAATGTGCAACGTGTATTAGATCTTGGAGTTTCTGTGTAATCGGAAATCGATGAAACATGTTTTTCTTCCAACAATAAAAGCACGTATATGATTTACTATTTATATTGGATTGAAGCATCTTCAAAGCTCGTTTTATATGGGTCACTAATAGAACTGTTGGTTCTTTAGAATCTAACATCGAACCACCTCTGACGTTGCCCAGTCTAGTTTCAGATCAACAGTTACTATAACTGAGAGCAGATATTCATATATGGCCGAAGTGCTTTTTCAGTTTGTTATTTGGTTCTTACTCATGGGCTTAGTAGCAGACGGTTAAGGAAAAAAAGTTTATTCCTCCTGGCACAGGCACGTACAGATTTACCATTAACTAGCAATCTCACACTTGCAAAGATGAGATGAAAGGTTAAGTCTCTAATCCACAATGTCTAATGACAATTAAGCATATTATCCATTCAAGCTTCTACTAAATACTGTTGGATTTGCGGGAGAAAGTGTTTATACAATATACAAGTCAAATGTCACAAAGATTTGTGGGAGGAAAAACCTTCAAGAGATTGATCAATACCAGATCCAGTCCCTAGAGTTGAAAGTTTCTTTGCAAAAAGTTTTACTATCTAACCGCGAATCAACAATTTCTAAAGAAGATGCTGTTGGACCTGTATGTCTATTACAATGGAAGACCACAAGGTAAAGAACTCTAAGGTAATGTGGAACAAAGTGAAATCTCCACTTCTACGACCAGGAAGATGCACCAAGTCCATCCACTACCCTTGGGTTAGCAATCCTTCTGCCAACTAGATCTTTCAGCTCAATTTCGCCAGGAAACCTATTCTCTTTCAGTTTAGAGAATACCTGTCATATAAATTGAAATTGAACAGTGAGAGGTGACACAAGAATTTACAGCAAGCTACTTGCTAATTTTTGCTATGAACTGAAAAAGGAAATTCAGTACACAGTAAGTGTTGCTGAGAAGGAACGCAAAAGGCAATTACCCTCCGGCTCGCTTGATAAAAATAAAATATCTCAAGGGGTAAGTTTCAGCTGCATCTGAAATTGTCTTAAGTGGAAATAGCTTTCTTATCATTTAATGAGGCATCTTGCATTTCATAAAAATTGCGGGCAAATACTTCTTACATAAGGGCCATTCTATCCAACTTTCAGGCATTATGATGCGTTTCAAGAGTGGATGATTATCATAAGAAATTCCAACATATCATAAGATTCTCGTTCTTGAAAATACACATTTTTCCAAAAATTGATGTTATCTATGAAGCTACAAAAGCCCAAGTATAGGTGTTCGAAGAAGCTATTCGCCTAAGGATGATGTGTACGACTATTGTATATTTTAATAATCCTTCTGTCCCATGTTATATGATACACTTTCCTTTTTAGTCCGTCCCAAAAAGATGACACATTTCTATATTCAGAAACAATTTAAGTTTAAACTTTCCATCTTACTCTTTAATAATTTGATCTACAACCACACAAATGTCGATAACTTGTTTTGGACCACGAATTTCAAAAAGCTTCCGTTCTTTCTTAAACGCCATGCCTAGTCAAGAACCTCCACATAAACTGGGACGGACGAAGTAATAATAATCCCACCCAATGGAACACTTTAGTAACAAGACTAACGGGTTGTTTGATGTTATAAAAAAACGGTTGGCAAAGGCAGCCAAATGCCTTTTTATCTTATCATAGGTAGAGCAGTCATGCATGGCATTGCCTCTTAATCAATGTTTCTGTGCTTTTCGGATTTTTAAGTCTAATCAAGCAGTTTTTTCAAATTGCACAACATCCTACTAAGAGAATGCGTTTTTATGCTATTAACTGACACACAGCTGACTCCATACCTCAGGTTATGCAACAGACAAATGTAAATGGACCCGACATTGACTCACATTCTCAAGCCTTATAAATTTGACATATTCTAGGCAGTCAATTAAAAAACTTCATATCACATGCTATAGGGGCTACAGAGATTTCTGTGAACCTTTGATACTTCAAAAGTTAGGATACACTTAAAATCCTTTCATATAATGGTACCGCCCGAAGATGATTCTCACCAAATTTAGTAGAAACATTTTATATCATTGAAAAGGGAGTATAACATGCCAACGGCATCCTTATTCCGAAAATGAACCATAATTTGTCTTAGGCAATTTTCTCTCTGTGAGAGGTGAAAGAGAAGGAGAATGAGAGCTGTGCAAAGAGTTAAGGTCAAAGTGAAGTTCTATTTCATTTTCTTTTCTGAAAAGAGCAAAGAAATTAACATAGTAAAGATGGACATCTATTTAGTCTCTAGTAAAAATGGTTTCCAGAATTTTCTTTTCTCCTAGATCAGATAGTTTTAGGCTTTTATCCACAAAAAAAGCACAAAAATAGTAATCATCTCCCAATGTTTTTAAGCTCAAGGAAAAAGGTAAACAAATAAGATAAGCATCGACAGATAGAGAAAGTACGTACCAGTTCACCATTACAATACACTTCAAAAGCACCAGAGCTTTGCAGCATGGACTGAAAGAAATTTCCCAGGAGCCAAGTGGTTGCCATAGTTCCGAATCTGTTAGCACGCAAGTGATAGAACCATGGAGGTGGTACAGCAAATCCCAACCTAGGAAATATTTGTTCGCCACCCATTACAAGGCCAATGACGCCAAATTGAAAAACGGGTACTACTTTGCTCAACAAACGTTTTGGAAGTGGAGGAGGATAGTTAGCAAGGACGACATGGACACCAGGAAACTGATTTTCCAACATGTTTTTCATTGTCACAGCTGTCCCTCTGGAAAGAAAGATGAAACTTAAATGCAGTTTGTTATGGTAAGAGTGCCAAGGGAAAACAGTTGTACAGCAAACATAATAGATACAACAAGAACTAGATGACCAATTGAATGAAGTAATGAAAGGTAAATACAAATTCCTTTTCGACATTATGACGCTGCCATTATCTTCTCTTACGCACACAAAGGACCGCATCCATGACTAAAATTGTTTACGCACCAAACTTACCAAGCATGCACTTCTATGCAGAGGCGGATCCAGGATTTGAACTTTATGGGTTCAAGTTCGGGAAGTCTGGAATCAATTGTTTGTACTTATTTGATGAATTTTGTTACATATATACAGGGTCTGTACCAAAGCTACCGGGTTCGGATAAACACATAATCTGACTCTACATCTGCCCCTGCTTCTATGGATTCTGTATATTGGCATATATGGGAAAGGCTTTTGCATCTTAATGGCATTCAACAGACGGAACAAGGAAGGTGTACAAGGTCCTCTCTACAAATCAAACAACAAGGTTATGGCCTTATAAGAGGCCTATACAGTAAATTCTCCTTTAGTTTTGGGAACTCTTTTCCATCCTGCAACTAAGACTATTCCACCACTTAACTTAGAATGAAATAAGCACACAATCAAACGAGCTCAAACCATGTCGGAAAGCCAAGAGATTATGCTCCTCAATAACTCAATATCCTTGACAGTATCATCTCTTTTTCTTGAGGATATAGAGGATTTATACCACAAGTGGTAGGAGCCCGAAATTTGTACAAGGGGATTCATAAAAATGAGTATTAAAGTGTCACACCTAAGATTTGAACTTGTGAGCTAAGGCAATTTTTGAAACCCCTTTACTCCTGTGTCAAGAGGATTCACAGTTCATATATAACCAAAAAAAATTGTTTTTTACCCTATTTACTCGTTGCGATTTTCCGAGGAAGGGGGATTCACCTTGTCTCCCTTTAGCTCCGCCACTATATACAACCGACCCAAGCTAGTTTGGGACTGAAGCCTAGTTGATTGACTGACTGATAACCTATTATCTTGACTTTCCCACTTTAAACAACTTGTCCATCACATAAGCTAACATGCCATTTCAATTGCTAATTTATGAGAGAGCATTTTTGGAAATTGGAAGAAAAATTCCAAACATTGCCAAGAATATACTAAACTAATATACTTTGTCCAAAAATTTCGATAAATCAAGCAACCCCATATGATGCTATAAAAACAGCATTAGAAACAAAACCTGAAAGAACATGAAGAGCAGAAATCAATGCTGACGGTGTTACCAATACCAACTGCACCAATACCAGCAGTTTTCTGCAAAGTCAAACACAAACAAAAAAAGAATTAAAAATTAAAACTAAAGATACCATTTTTGTTAAAAAGAAAGAGAAAGAAAAGAGAACATTTTTGAGGTACCTGAGTAGGGAAATCAAGAGTCTGAGGTGGTTGTTGTTGGATAACTGACGGCAGTTGATGGTGGTGGTGGTGATCGGAAGAGGGTTTTTGAGGGGGCGGAGTAAAAAGATTGAAAAGATCGGAGATGAATAGGAAAAGGGGTAATCCCACCAGAAGAAGCTGAGTTCGATCCATTGTTTGTGTGTGTGGGTGTGAGAGAGAGAGAGAGGAGGGGAAGAAAGAGGAGTGGGGTTTTCTCAAGGAAAAGAAAATGTTTTTAAAAAAAAATGTAAAGTCCTTTTTTGGGTGAGAAATTAGATCTTGAATTACTTCTTTCTGTTTTGGTCGTTGTAAAAATTGGTGACATTGATGCTGTTTAAATTGACGATGTTGTTTTAACTATATTTTAAGTATTTAAAATGAATAATAATATTTAAGTATTAAATTAAAGTAAATACTAGTATAGTCACACATTTTTATAACAATATCTTAATATAACAGTTATTCACTATAAAAGTCAAATTTACTCGGAACCAATCTTTTATGTTATGTTATATTATATAACAACTCTTCAAACAAACACGGTTATTATAGAAATGTTTGACTGTATGACTTTTATGAGATTTTTACCTATATATACTATATTAGAAATTTATTTACCCTCACTGTTTAGATTTTAACTTAATTACAAATTAATATATAATTTACCAGTTAAATATAAATAAGTTTAAATAAATATTCTTGATTGTAGCCTTTTAATATGAAAGTCAAATTCCATAGATGTATCGCTTCTACATATCTCTCCCACTCTCTCTTTCTATTTTCTATTTTCTTTTTTCTTTTTTCTGCCCAACTTCTTCATTCTTTGTATTTCTATAATTTTCTCCCCTTTTCTCATCTTCTTTTTCTTTTTTCCCAGAGAATTCAATAATAGATTTGGTGTCGATGCTTGTCACCATCGAATCAGTTGTTGTTTGTTGCCCCGCCAGCTATTGAAAGCCATCACAAGCTTCGAAACTTTGGTTTTGAATTCGAATTTTTTAAAATTACTATTTATTTTGATTGGGTATTGTTGCAAACGATTAAGGATATTCTTTGATGTTTATATCTCAATTTTAAGGGTGTTTGGTAAAAATTAGAGTTGATTTTGGATGAATTTTCAGATTGAAACTCGAAGACGAAGATGTATTAAAGTTGTATTATAATTGTATGTAAATTGTATTTAAGTTGTGTTATGGTGTAGTTATATTTTTTTATTTGAATATTGTATGAAAGTTGAAAATAGTTGTATAATGTATGAATCATTGTGAAATTTGTATTTAAGTTATAAATACTTTCTTTTTACATAAAATTGTTGATGTGTATCAAAATTATATTAAGAGATGAAGTTTTGATTGGAATTTCATAGAAGAAGAAGAACACACCACATACAAAATATATACAAATCATATATAAAATATATACAAAGACATATTTGTATAAATTTATATGAAAATTGTATATAAGTTGTATGATGTTATGATTGTTTTTGACTGGGTAAAAATGATGTATGGAAATTGTAGATAAGTTATAAATAAGTTGTATAATATATAATTAATTATATAAAAAATATTTTTAATTTATATGTTGTTGTAAATGTATCAAATTTGAATATTCCGGCATTAAACTCGTTTGGTTTAGGTACTGTCTATTGGCAGTGTCTCTATTGCTTTTGTTGGTGCTACTTTCTGGTTCAAGCTATTAAAATAGTTTATAGGATTTGGTTCTCAATTAAGTCTTGAACGATTTTACGTTACTGTGGTTCGGCATTAGTGGAATTGCTATACTACAGTTAAGGCACTATTGGAAAGAGTAGAGGAGAAAAAAAAAGGAAAAGGTATAATTGTATCCCATAATTTAATACACTAATAATGGATTATATATGGAGAGAGGCGGCAAAGAATAGGGAAAGAGGAGAGAAGAGAAGAGAAAAAGGAAAAATAGTGTAACTGAATAATTTAAGGCACTAATAATGAACTGTAAGCAATTCTTGTTTAAGACATGTAATATACAAAATTAAGATAATTATAAATAAGCTTCAAATGTTATATAGAAACAAAAAAATCCCAACTTTTATCCAAAAGTAATTAAAATATTGCATGTCCAAACACGTCCGGAAAATGCCAAGGTTATCACTTATCAAAATAGCAGACCACAAGTCTATAAGGTGTTGCCTAAACACTAGGTTTTGCTCACTTTTTCTCCTCCTTTAGGGGTGCTTTTTCTTGGAAGGATTACGGCCCTTGTCACTTGGCCTAACAGCCCAACCGAAAATGACCCAAATTTGAAGTTCTTACCCGGTTTAGCCCATATTATACATAACTTGAAAGAAACTTTTCATCCTTTAGCCCATTATTAAAGACACACTTCTAGGGTTTTTATTATTTTCTTCTTTCTTCACTCCCAACACACCAAATTCTCTCCCCACCACCTCTCGTTTCTTTCTTTCTAGCCCACACAGATCCCCTCATCCTCTCTTAACCTAGCCTTTGCTATTCCCCCTCCCCTACTCCCTACACAGTTCTACCATCAATGGCTCGAAGAAGGCTCAGGCTCCTCCTCCGTCAACCAAGCCCGCCACGTCTGATGGTGGCAAGCAGAAGAATATTGAAGATTTTAAAAGAAAAATGAAAATACACACAAATCTGAAAATAAATAGCTCTCAAACTTGATTTGCACCAAAAGAATGACCACTAATTTTGGAAATTTTTGAATTTTGAAATTCTAGTCATCATTCTTATGATCTTGAAGTCTCGAATCTGAAATTGGGTGTATCTGTCTGGGTGTTGAATTCCGAATCGTTGGCGCATGGATCATCCAATACCTTCTACTACAACTCGAAGCATGGATAAAAAATCATAACTATGTAGCAGTTTGTATCAACATTGTATAATAGTGTATAATTGTATATATGGATATACAAGCACCTCTTATACACTATTATACATGTTTATATAAGTTGATACATTATTTGCAGTAAGTGTAGTGTTGGACATATTATGTTTTTTAGTGAAAATATTGTATAGGTGGTGTTTATATACACTTATATAGTATTGTATAATTATGTATAATTGCGTACAAATGTGTATATTTGTATATAATGTTGTATAATTATATATTTTTTCAGTTTATAAGGATGTATATACATTGTCAGTATATAAGAAGCCTTTATGGAAGTTTCACACTTCCTTATCTTCTTCTTTTTCGTGTATGTGATGTATGAAAAAGATCTTGTACACGTTGGAGGGATTCTACAATTCATTTACCAAGTTTTAATTTTTCTTTTTATCCCGTTGGATTGCTTCAGCAATTGTACATAAAAGTGTTTGAATTTCTTGCCTTCAGGTAATATGTATTGTTCAGGATTTTTGAGTTGCGTTGTGGCGGATTTGCATTTTTTTATCAAATGCGTAATAATCAAAGGAAAACAAGAGAATGAAAATAACTGGTTGTATAAAGAGGGAACAATAACCGTAGTAGATTGTGTGAAATAAGCTGTTTTTCGAAAATTAGCCTATTATTTTTGGGCTATAGATTTGCAAAGTGGTATCTAAGGCTGTTATGTTGCAATGCAGGTGTGTGAGTTGTACTTAAGTGAAATTATCCCCTTTTTCTTTTGGCAATTAAAGAACTTTTCATTAATTACCAAGTGTAATTGTACAAACCAAAGCAACTAACCGTTTTGCTTTCATGAAATACTAAGGGCATGTTTGGCTATAATTTTTTAATTTATTTTCAGAATTAGTGTTTGGCCATAAAAATTTCAAATTTTATTTAAATTTTTGGAATTTGAAAAACTGTAAAAAGTTATTTTTCAAAATTTTCACTTCAAATCACTCACAAATACTTTTTTCAAAATTATATTCATGTCCCAATATAATTTTAATTTTCAAATACCTTTTGCATTTGAAAAAAAAAACTCACTTTTTTTCGGTGTTTCACAATTCTTATGTCCAAACGCGCACTAAAAAATCTATCTTCCCAATAAAGTGCCATATTCTCTCCTTGTTGGAGTTAAGTAAGTTGGCCCAATATGATGCTAATAAGCCCACCTGATGTATTTATTTGTATCAGCCCACTTGTAATAGTGAGGCCTATTTTTCTTTTGTATTAGTAGGATTAGTCCGGTTCTGTATATACAAACGATTCTTGGATCCTTCTAGACAGAGAAAGAACATTTCCTTATTTTGGCACAGTTAAAATAAAAATCTCTCTTTCTCCTTCATTTTCTACTCTCTCTCGATACTCTTCAAGCCCTAGCATAAAATCTCAATCAATCCATGGAAATCAATGCTTTCACATGGTTTCAGAGCAGAGATTTCGTTCCTGCTCCTCACTAACTTCCTCCCGATGTTACCCCGCCAATTTTCATTCGAAAATTCGTACTCGTTGAGAAGTTTGGGGTTTTCTAATTTTGCTAAGTTTTCTTCTATAATCGTTACTTCGACGGCTTTATTCTATCGGAGTTTCATCGGATTGACGCGGAGATCAGCCGGTTGCTTCAATGTTTTCTCTATCCGACAGTTAGGGTTTGCTTCGTTCATGTTCGAGGCTGTTACCGTCTTTCGGTCACAAAGACGGCGGGTATTCTCGTTATCTAGCTCATTTTTGTTGCTGTTGTTAGATATTTAGTGTTTGTAGAGTCAAACAATTAGGGTTTGTTGTTGGATATTTGGTGTTGCATGTGTTGTGGTTGCTTCTTATATGATTTTTCGACTGACTATTTGAACTCAAAATGGTGAATGTCGTTGATGAGTCTACATCTGCTAATTCCTCTGTTAGTTTCATCCCTAACCCTTCGAGTCCACTTTTTCTCCTGTCTTCTGATGTTCTGGGAGTTTCTCTGGTCAGTACTCCTTTTTCTGGAACTGGATTTGGGGGATGGAGATGAAATATGATTGTTTCTCTCTCTGCTAGGAATAAGATAGGTTTCATTGATGGAACAATTATTAAACCTTCTGAAAATTTCCCTCAATTTAGGCAATGGGATATGTGTAATAACATGGTCATCTCTTGGCTGACCAACTTCCTTACACCAGACATAGCTGAGAGTGTTCAGTATTCTGACACTACCCAAAGCATTTGGACTCAACTTAACAAAATGTATAGTACTGTTAATGGAACCAAGGTTTTTGAGATAAAATAAGAGTTAGCATCCACCAGTCAGGGGTATTTAGACATAGAATCTTACTTCAATAAACTAAAGAAATTGTGGGATGAATTGGGTTTCATGCGTGCCTCT